TTCTGATGATCAAGAAAATAAAAAAAAAATAAAATTTCGAATTTTAGACCTGTATGAAATTTGGTATGTAGGTTTAAAATCGATTTCTAAGCAACTCATTTTGGTATCTCCAACGCGAAGCAAAATATTGAGAATTTGCCCTTTTCGCAGGATCGCAAAAGGCTGGGTTTGAGGCTGTCACTCGGGCTGAGTATTGCGAAAAGTGAGGCCCATGAAGTTCTACGCCTGTACCAAAAATCAAATCTCTGCTATCAAAAATGACTAAAATACAGGAGTGTCTTCATTTCAATTGTATCACACTGTATATATGAAAAGCTGATATTTTTCTTGGAATAATTATTGATAAATATCTAACATGGGAAAGAAACATAATTCAACTATCGTTAAGCTCTCGAAAATTATATATATGATAAGATCACTTGTTAAAACTGTATCTTGAGAAACTATAATGTCTGCTTATTATGGTTATTTTTATTGAAACATGACATATACTGTGCTGAGTTGGGGTCACTCTTCCCATTCGGAGAAAATTTTTAGGCCACAAAGGAGATGCATCCGTATTATTAAGAATCCCAAAAATCGCCAGTGCTGCAGACATTGTTTTTCTGAGCTTAAAACACTAACATTTCCTTGTGCATATATATTGAATTGCATTAAATATGTTAATAATAAACAAAAATTTTCAACACATAGCCAACTTCATAATTATGAAACACGTCATTACCAGGACATTATGACTGACTATCACAGATTGCATAGAACCAGAAAAGGAACTGACTACTATGGTGTACATTTCTTCAACTGCTTGCCAGTGACCATGAGACTGTTTGAGTTGAGATTAAATTATTTTTCAAAAAAAAATCAAAGATTATTTAGTAAAAAAGGCTTCCATTCAATACAGGAATTCTTGGACAATAACTTCCATGACCTACTGTGATTGTTTAAATTGTATTTAGTTCAATGAACAAATTGTAATTTCACTTATTTTATTTATGAAACCGTGATTTTAAAAGTGTATGACAAAAAGTACCAACATTTTAATGTGTATACCATTTCTTTCTTGACTTGTAAAAGCACGATATGTGTTATTACCAATAAAATTAATTGACTGATTGATTAATTTCATTTGGTCAGCACGACCACCAATAGACCAGTTTCGGAGTACTAGCTCCTCGTCAGTACCAGGTGGGTCATTTCAGGAGAAGAGAACTGTCTGAATATTCCAAACAAACAAAACTAATTTGATTGGATCGTTTCTATTCTCCAGAGTGTTTATGTTTTCACACCAGTAAAAAGCAGAAATCACTTCTTTGGAATGATTTTCATGATTTGTTCATGATTTTAGGTTAATTTTGTACTCTATTCTTGATCTGTTTGGTCTTTATTCAGTGGATATACTATCAAATATAAATATAAAAATCCAAAGTGATTTTGATAGTTTAACGGGGGTCAGCCTAATGGTGAAGCTAGCTGAACCCAGCTATTCAAAGATTAACATATGATAAATTGGTGGTTGTTGGTAATAGAAACTTGAAATGAGCATTAAATCTTGGTGTAGTCTGATTCGATAAAATCTCTTCTTTGATTAGCAGAATCCGCAATATCTTTAATGAAGGAAGAGTGAAAAATTCGAAAATAGAGTACAAAATCATCCTTACAATAAATTGTGATTTAGATTAAATGTGAAAATTCAAAGTAGTTCTGCTTACACAACTGTAAAGATCTTATTCAATGGAATATACAAAAAATCTAGATTGCAGCTCACAAAAATGTTTATACATTTATCGTAAAATCCTCTCAGGACCAATACAGTATCATAAATAGATTATGAATACAAAACTGTTAATTCAAGTGGTGAATATTGCGAATAATTGCTATAGCAGAAATTAAAATTTACTTAGTGTTGATATACTTACCTTGGGGTCTGATTTGAGGTCTTCATTATTCCCTTGTATTTGTTTATTCTCTATATTGTGACTTGATGAGTTACTAGCAGTATCTTCGTAGTTTTTTTCTGATATTTTATCACATTCAATATGCTCTTCTTCCACAGACTCCTTTGGGGAATCTCTGTCTAAATCATTGTAATGCTTATCGCTTATATTTTCACTACTATTTGATGACTTTGATGACACTGACACATTTTTAACCAGAGAAGCGCTGAGGACCTCGATATTCACCCCTTTGCTAATCGACCTAATTTCTTGTTCCTCTGACTGTCTACTGGTACCAGCTACACAGCTAGAATTTAAAGAGCTGATGCTTGAAGACAGACTTCCATTACTTTTTGGCAGTAGATTTGTCTTATTAAGTGGCTTGTTTCTTCTGTAAGAAGTCAAAGAAGAGCTAAGTTTGACTGGTTTATCTTTTTTTGGACCTTCAAAATCAATCACCATCGAAAATATATTTTTGGTAGCAGATGCCGATGGGGGTGAAGAAGGGATATCAGAAACATTGCTAAGATCAACATAAAATCCAAGCGGTGTCTTCCTAGACGTTTCTGATGCCTCGGTATCAAGCTGAACAATAGAATTGAAAGGTGTGTTTGTTTCTGCGAAGTGAGGTAAATTGCCTGATGAACTAGAGAAGTGATGATCCTCGTGATGTGAATTTGACATTTGTAACATAGAAAAATGGGGTACAGCGGTCTGAAATAACAAAGCCCCTTGCCGTCGCTCATCGGATCGTCTTTGATCTGCAGTATCAGCATCATCAGATAAACTGGCAGCATCGATGAAGCAACCACTAAGTAGTTGTTGGTTATGTAGTTGCTTTTGCTCTTTTGTCCTGCCTCTCCAGTCTTCATCACTTCCTACTCCTGAATCCATTTCAATTTTCTCATGCTCTTTATTCATTGAGAATGCCTTGCTCACATTTATGACCTACTAATTTTATTTTCTATAGCTTCATCCCATTACAAATAGAACACCTAAGAATCAAATAACTAATATGCTGAAAAAACACTACATTTCAATGTCACAATATAAATAAATATATACTATTTAGATATACCGGGTTTTTTCATCAAGACACTTTGATTTCAACACAGATTTCTTGACCATTTCAGTAAACTAGCCAATTGAACCGACTAGCCGACTGAATTTACGAGAATTTCTAGTTGTCACTGTCAATATACTGTCAAAAATAATAACAATTAGGAAAGTATGTGTCTGTCATTATCAGAGACTTCGTATTTTAGTAGATCCTGAAGTAAACAAACAAATCTATTCTGAAACAATAATAGATCTATTTTTTCCTTCTTTTTTTGATTGGCTGTGAACTATCATTCCGAAATTGGCTTCTTTGACAATGACAAATGTCAAAGTTTGATCGTGTTTTGTTTACCAGTGACGTTTCACAACGAACGAAAGATTGAACAACTACATTTTAGATTTCTAATTCATTTGTGAAATCAGTTGGTTTTTGTAGTTGTAGGCATTAATTAAAAGAATTTCTAGTGGCTTTTTGAATTATTCATAAAATCACCGTGAAAAATAACTAATATTTCTCATAAATTGTTTTGACATTGAGTTTATATGGCAATAAAAAATGCTAGCAGAGTAACTCTGCGTAAGGTAAGGGTATTTTCTCCCCTTTGAAAATGATCATGTGGCGAAAATATTGTTTTTCGGTGATTACCGCGATTCTGTACCCTATGTTCGAGCGATTCTTCCTAGCCACATTTGTTGGAGGTTTTGAGGTCTCAAAACCTCCAACACATCGATACACATCTGAAAATGAATTCCTGAAAGAAAAATCTGGAGCGATCTTATTAAAGTGTATTTTTATACAAAACTGTTACTTTTTGCTAGAAAACGTGTTGTTTCCAATTTAATATAATAATAAATACCGACGCCACTGTGTCTTCGGCAAGCTGATAAATTTTGCTGCCAAATTCACATTGGTCTTGTTATCAAGTAAACCAACATAAATATTTACTGAGAAAGATGAAATAACAAAAAAGTAGGGAATATTCAAAATAATAATAATAAATACATCTTTGTTTCGACTTATTTCTTGAATTATCTTCATTAATTTCATCTCAGCAGAGTTATTTGTACTTTTCTATTACATATATTAATTCAAAATGAGTTTTGCTAGTTGTTGAAAGAAATGTTGAAGGATAATTCAAGTGAAATTTGTAGATTTCAACATCATTGTCAACTTTTTCATCATTTGTCAGATTAATTTGTTCATCATTGAAAATTGTTGCTCCAGAGTTGTGCCTCTGTAGTTAGTCTGTTAGGATTTGCCATTTGAACTACCCTGTACAATGGTATTGGTTATTCTCTCATTATCTTTAGGAGTAAGAGATTTATAGTTTTTGTGAAGGCATTCGTTTTTGGAGGCAGGTTTTTTGTTTCTAGCATTTTTTTGAAAGTACTGTTTGAATAGATCTACCTATTTATTTTTGACTGTTTCAATTTTTATCGAAAATAACAATTTATTCCTTTAGTAACTGTATAACAAAATCCTTATCGGCAATTATGGTATCCTTGACGGTTGAAAATTGTTTCAATATTTTATTTTCCTTTCTCAAATGAAACAAGTAGATACAACAATAAAAATTTGCGAGTTTGCACAAGAATAAATAAATATTGTGCATGAACAATAAATAATTACAAAATTTATAATTACAATATTCTTGAAGGTATAATATAGGTTCAAAAAAATTCTGTACCTTTCTCTTGAACTTCATGGAGTTTTTGCGAATCTGAAATGTGCTTTCAGGTGATTGTATACTTTCTTGCTCTCGTGAATGAGCGATTTTTTGTAAGAGTCGTTTTGGAGATAAGCAAATGAAATTGATTAATGTTTTGAGTAATTAAATGATGACTGGCAGAATCATGTAGATAGTTTCTTTTTATGCATTACATAGACAGTTTCAAGGATGAAAAAATTTGCTCCAACACTGCACAAGTATCTTACAGCTCTTTTTGTAATATGAATACCGAATTCAATTAATGTTGGTTGCAGAAACCCCAAAACCCTATACCATATCTGATATGTATTGTTGGCAATAATTTCATTAAGCTCATTAGATACTTCCCACACAGCATGGCAACCTGATGCTGCCCTTCTCTTCAATGACGTAACATGGTCGTCAAATTTCAATTGTCATCAATATGAATTCCCAGAAATTTTGTATACGATTCATTTCAACTAAAAACGACCATAGCCCAAGAAATAAATGATGTGATGTGAAAAGAAAACGTCCTTCACTGCAAGGCAACCAGATGAACTTGTGATCTTCATAGGAAAAGATGTCATTACTTTTACTTTCGTGTCCTTTTCAGGACAGTTGAGTGATTCAGCATACCACCACTGATGAGATCTTGAAAGATGGAAACAGCACTGTCTGGTGTTTGATTACAAGTTCATTAATATGGTTATTTGATTTAATCCCATATATTGTGTAGCGTTCCTGTGAATGATATACGTTTCAATTCCGTAACAAATTGTTTAAAGTATAAACTAAATAGGGAAAAGTGATCTTCCTATACCTCAAAGTTCATATATTTGAAGGTATTTGTTTGGAATGGATTTTTTCTTCCAGTTTTCATATGAAAAAACTTGTAGAATATAGATAGATTTTGAGAAAAAGGGTTTTTGGCTGTGTACTTAATAATAATAATAATGCTTTTATTGAAAGATTACTCTGTACAAGAGATAATAAACTAATCTAACAAATTGGAGAATTCAACATCTGCACATGATAAATCAAGGCAGATATTGCTCTTCCATCCAACCATCTTCATACAAAAAATATGGGTAACATCCAAAGGAAGGAAGAACGCATTCAAGTTCAAAATAAACTCTTTACAAAGATGTGCAGATAATGCATCGAAGTTACTTTCAGATACAAACTGGAAGGAAAAACCCTCCCAAACAACTACTCTCAGATGAACATTGAATTTCACAAAAGACAAAGTACTTTCGAAACAACTACTTTCATATGACCATTGAATTATTGCATGAAACACTGTCATCCTCAATGGTGTACTTCAAAGTTTGGGAATAAGATGCCCATCTTATTATCTAATCAGCAGCTTTTTGGGTAATATTACAAGATAAAGCACTCATTTCATTCATAATATTATGGATTTATGTATAAAGATGGAGAAGTAGAAAGCCAGAATGTTTTTTTTACAAGAATTGATGTCTCATAAAAAATATACCCCTTTCAATGTAATCATAGAAAAATTCTATGTCTAGCATTATAGTTTCGATTTGAACATAAAACACTTCATTGTTTAAATAATTTAATAAATATGAAACAATCTCAAGAAGATAAAAATAAAGTATTCAGTTAACAACAGTATTTTTTAAATAATAGTTTCTCAGAATACATAAATCTTTTGCCATATTAATTCGTCCTGAACTTTTGAAAATATCATGCACATGGAGAAGGAGAGGATAACTAAACAACTCAGGCATTGTTTTCAATAAATCAGATACAAGTGAATTGGGAATCGCAGCTAATACAGCACTTGCCGAATTAACTTTTACTTCAACGATAGATTTAACGAGATAAAATGCAAAATAAGTTTGCTGGGTGATGGATCCTTCCCGTATCCCACCCTCAAACATATGTAGAAGATTACGAAGTGAGGTGAGGAGTTGTTCAGTAGGTTTTGGTTCTTCTACGTTGTCCATTAAGCGTGCCATTTTTGGTAATGGTGGACCGATCTCAATATCCTAAAAGTAAAAATAAATTATCATCTCCTACAAATAAAACAGCTGAATCAAAGAGTGTTAACTTTCGATGCCAGTTATAACTGTACCAAAGCTTTTTTGGTTTTTTTGACCATGGTCTGCAGGTTTTTATGCCTGATGTTTCATTTACGACTGAGGTAAACATTATAGAAGGCAATGAAGCAAAAGACAAAATGTCTTAATTGCTCTCACAGGAGATACTACAGTATTGGAATGTTTCTCCACTTCTATATCATTGGTAGTGGGCGTGGCCTTTTCTTATTGGTTGGACCAAATGTTCTCATTGTGTGCAATTTAGAACAGGTAGCCAGATTTTATTTATGTCGATTTCCTCTTCGTTTTCAATGAAATTGTTTCTGTGTTCATAAATTTCTATGTCCTCCCTAGATAGAGAATTACTGTCCAAGAGTATATAGGGAAGCAATTGAAATTCATAACCATAGAGATAATTCCAATCAAAAGGTGAAGGAAAATAAATAAAATCTATCTATATGTTCCATATTGCACAAAAATTCAGGTCCTTTAATCCAAGTAATAGGAACGAAGCCATGTCCAGTGAAATATTTCAATATTGTAGTATTTGCTATGAGGATAACATAACTAGAGTTGTCGTATCGCCTTTGATAATATCTAACGTAGTTGTAGGCGAAATGTATGTTATATATGGAATTGAAGTCGTCAGATTACGGGAGGGTGTAGAAGATACTATATTAATCTGAGACTTTAGATTTGTTTTGGAGGCGTTTATTTTCATCAGTTGTTATAATCCTGAATTATTGTCAAGTTGTAAATAAAAATTTGTCTTCATGAGTATATTGTTTAGAAATAACTGAAATACAAAAGGTTATGGGTGCAGTATTAAGTATACTGAATAACTGCAAGAGAATATTGTTTAGGGGTGAAAATTGATCAAAACAAAAAAACTGGAGTTTCAAATCAATCAGCGGAAGTACTCTTGAAAAATTTTGAATGACAGGTTGTGAACCTGTCAACACTCCTTAATTGCAAATAAGTAAAAGATTTACCTCATCAGTATCTTATTGGATCGCTGATGTACTTAGAAGTCCTAAATAGATCAGAAATAGCTCATGCAATTACTATGTTGGGTTAATATGATTATTACTACACAAAAGAGCACTGGAATGCTGGAGAGAGGATCTTGGGAAATTTGAAAAGTATGAAAGATGAATGTCTGGCATATAAAAAACCGGCAAGCATCAGGATAAAGCTATTGTGATTTATTATGACAACCAAGGACTGCAGAAATTATTATTCAAACCATCAATTATTGAAAAACACTTTCACAACACCAGAACAAAAATTACGATCTCTTGACGCGCGTTTCGCTAACCAAGTTAGCGTCCTCAGGATATCATTATGACTAAATTTTACTACTATGTTAGTGATTTTGTATCCTAATGGCCTAACTACTACCTGTTAGTATTACCGAACTACACCAGTTAGTATTATATAACTGTGATTACGTCAAACTCTATCACCTAGTAAGCCAAACTCAATGGGAAAATGTGTTAGTATCAAAAGATCCGGATGAGTTGGTTGATGCTTTTAAGAAAAGACTCTATGGTATCTTTGACGAATGCTTGCAAAAAAAGGAAATAAAGTACAATAATAAATTCCCCCACTGGTATAGCGCTGAACTTAGGCAGACAATAAAGGAAAAATACTTTAAAAAATCCAAACGTGCAATTCCAAAACATGGTGAATGCAGAAATAAATTTTGTGAACTTAGAGTAAAAGTGAAAAAACTAATGGAACGATGTAAGCTCTCTCACATACAAACTATTGAAAACAAAATCAGTAAAAACTCTAAAGAATTTTGGAATTACATAAACAATAAAAAAAAGATTACAAAATATCTAATAATTTCAGATATGAAGTCATTTCTGATGATCAAGATATTGCTAATGCTTTTTGCTGAATATTTTCAATCAGTTTATAGTAATGATTCTCCAGATGGCACCAATCTCTCTCTAGAAATAAACCCGCAAGAATTATGTCTATCATCAATTTCCGAACAAGTTATCTGTGAAGCAGAATCCCGTCAACTGGAGTTGACGGTATTCCATCTTACTTTTACAAAGGTTATATGGAAAACCTAATAAGACCTCTGAATATAATCTTCAATAGCATTGTTGAAAGTAGTGTGTTTCCAAAACAACTCAAAATGGGACGTATAATTCCTATCCATAGATCTGGCAATCAAAATCTCATAACAAACACATTATCTGCAGAGAACAGCACGGTTTTGTTAATAAAAAATCAACTGTAACAAATCTCATGGCGTTCAGCAATAACTTAGCACTCTCGATAAATAATAATAATAATAATGTTTATTTTAGAAAATGCCACAATTATTTGTATAAAAAATAATAACAACATGTAGTAAAATGACGTCACACACAATTAGGTATATTTCAAAACGGATGTTTTAAAAAATCCTCAACACAATAGCGTTCTAGATCTACAAGTATCTTTTTGATGTTTTTTTTAATAGATTGCTACTAGCAGAATGTCTAACTAACAAGTACTGGTAACTTGTTGTAAAATTTCATTGCCATATAATAGGGAGATTTTTCAGTAAGTCTCAATATATGATATGGATAAATGAGGTCATGCCTCCTAGTGTTATATTCGTGTTCTGTACCATTTAGATTAAAAAGTTCTCTATTTTTAAACAAATACATCAAACATTCAAAAATATACAGAGCATATACAGTCATGATGTTACTATTCTTAAAAACTGTTCGGCAACAGTCCTTATAATATTTGTAATTGATTATTCTAATTACTCTTTTTTGTACAACAAATATTCTATTTGTATTCTTGTTGGATCCCCAAAAAATTATTCTGTATCTCAAAAGATTCAAAATTTGAAAAGTGAAGAGATAAAGCTGCTTGCTTTTCTAGATGTTTACTGATTATTCTCAGTCCATAGGACACTTTTCAAAGCTTCGAAGAGATTTTCTCTATATGTTGTGACCAGTTCAGCCATTCATCAATGTAAACACCCAAAAACTTGGTGTCATGCGATAACTGAAAGGAATTATTGAAAAATGATATGTCATTTGGTTTTTCCTCTGCTGTTAGATAGTTTGCAAATAGCATCACTTTAGTTTTCGACTCGTTCAATACTAACTTATTTGTTTTCAACCAGTTTTTTGTTTTCTGAAAAATGTTACAACAGTTTACCATCATCTCCGGATATGTTTCTTCCCCTGCCAGAAGGCTTGTATCATCAGCATATATAGTTATAAATTGATTCTCTACTAATTCAGATTTGCATAAATAATTCATAAATATAACGAACAACAGTAGGCCCGCTACACTTCCTTGCGGTATACCTATAGATGTTGTTATAATATCAGATTTGAAGTTTTATGAGTCTTTAGTGATACTGACTCTCTGTTGTCTGTTTACTAAATATGAGTAAAACCATTTCAGAGCATTTCCTATTATTCCATATTTCTCTAATTTGATTAACAAGATATTATGATCTAGACAGTCGTATGCTTTTAACAAGTCAAGAAACATACCCAGAGCTAGATGCCGTTTTTCCATCAGATCAATTATGTTCTGCGTATATTGGAAGATTGCCGTTTGTGTTGATTTTTTTTGTAAGTAGCCATGTTGATTATCACTGAAGATATTACACTCATGAAAGAACGGTATAACTTTATTACACATTACTGGAATAATACTGGAAAACAAGTTGATGTAATCTACACAGACCTAGCGAAAGCATTCGACAAAGTGAACCATGGAGTTCTCATCGCCAAATTAAGAAAATTCTCAATGAATCAATCAATGATAACATTAGTGAAGTCATATCTATCATATAGAGATCAATTTGTTGCTTTCAATAGAAAAAAGTCGACACTATTCAGACCAACCTCTGGCGTTCCTCAGAGTTATTTATAATGTTCATTAACAATATAGATGATTATAAGACATTCCAAATTCCTACTTTATGCAGATGATCTCAAACTATACCAAACCATCAACGATTAGAGAGACAGTGAAAACCTTCAGAAAGACTTAGATTCTATCACTATCTTTTGTGAGACGAACAACTTGATGCTGAATGAGGGTAAATGCAAAGTTATGTCTTTTTCGCGGAAAAATGTTATTACTCCAATGGAATATTCAATAAATGGCACCAAACTGGAAAAACTTGCTCAAATCAAAGATCTAGGAGTCATATTTAATAGTAACTTCAACTTTAGAAATCACATAGAATATATTGTACGTGATGCAAACAGAAAGCTTGGTTTTGTGTTAAGAAACGCAACGGATTTCAAATGGGAACTAGGAATTCTTCTATTCAAGCCTTTGTTAGATCAAAGCTTGAATACGCTTCAACAATTTGGAATCCGCAAACAGCATTTCATTCAGAGATGATAAGAAAAAATACAGAAGAAATTTCTTAGGTACACCTACTTCAAAAAAAAATAAAGAGTATCCTTCTATGATCCGCTATAGGACTCAACTAGAACATTTTGACATGCCAACCCTGTCAGATCGTCGAAGCTTGAAAGATGTACTATTTATATTCAATATATTTAATCAGATAATAAATGTACCTGATCTTCTCAGTGTGATCAAACTTCATGTTTCTAGTGCTAGTCTAAGAAATCGCAATAGGGTTTTCTATGCAGACACTCGATCAGAGTCTCCACTCAATCGCTGCCTTAGGCAAGTGAATGATCTAGTCGTAAGTCATCAAAGTCTTGATTTTTTTTGCTGTGATGAATTAGAAATAAGACAGTCGTTTTTAAAAAAAATGTGCCATATATACCTGTTTTTATTAATGTTTCTATTGTACGTAATTTTAGGTGTTTATTTACTCTGTGTATTGTAAAATCATATATTTCATGTACCATAACATTGACTGTATACATATAATCGGGTGTAAACCTATTTGGAATGCAGTTTAAATAAAATCTATCTATTTATCTATCTCTACTACCTGTTTTAACATCTTTAATTTTTTATGTATTTTCTCTTTGTTGATGATCATCTCTAATATTTATCGATAAAATTACGTATAAGACCAAACAAAGGACTGCTCGAAATAGGACCATTGTCGTTACTCATAGAACTCATTCCGCACTTTTTGATTTCCAAGCTTTCAAAGGCATCCAGAAACCTGTTGTCATGTTGAGACCGGTACATGACAACAGGTTTCTGGATGTCTTCGAAAGCTTGGAAATTGAAAAGTGCAGAATGAGTTTTATGAATAGCGACAAAGGTCCTATTTCAAACAGTCCTTTGTTTGGTCTTATACGAAATAATTCTAAATAAAAAACCGATAAATATTAGAGATGATCACTAACATAGAAGAAATAGATAACAAATTAGAGGTATTAAAAACAGATAGTTTAGCACAGGATCAATAACAGGTAGGAGTTATGTAATACTAACGGGTGTATCGGTAGGTACTACTAACAGGTAGTAGTTAGTCCACTAGGATATAAAAATACTAACATAGTAGTGAAATTTAGTCATAATGATCAGAGAACGCTAACTTGGTTGGCGAAACGCGCCTTGAGAGACCGTAATTTTTGTTCTGGTGTTGGGAAAGTGTTTTTCAATAAAACTATCGACATCCACATCAAAAATAATTTTAAGAAAGGTGTTGCAGATAAAAAAGAGACTCAGTTGGAACATAAGCCCAGAAGACAAGATAACAGATTTGTTGAAGAAGTGATGGAATTACCAAAAAAGTTTTTTATTGTTCGTTAGGTATGGAACCAACCTCGTCAGATTACAGAAGATTTAATGTTTGTTTCCGAGGTGTTATTTTTTATCAGTTGTTATGATTTCAAAATATTGTCATGAACATAAACATAAAAACTTGCTTTTGTGAACACAAATTCTTAAGAAAAGAACTGAGGCTCAACAGCTTTTATCAATTTTCTAGATAAAATTAAAAGAAGAGAACAAATCGGGATGAAAAATACATCCAGGCAAAAAAATAGCAAAAATTAGTCATACACACATATTTAATAATAAGTGTTTTCAGACACTGACAGAATTGTTTATCACCTAACCAATACTTACTTCCGATAAAGCATCCCAAGCAGTATAAACGCAGTAACTAGTAAGGTATGCTAGAGCAGGCAACTGTGGTTCCATCAAGCTATCAGCCTGAATGTCATTATAGAGTAATTGAGGTAGAACATGTGACAACAACTGCTGAGTGCAACCTACTATTTTCACGTGAAATATGGCTAAAGCAAGATCCACGCCTTTTTGAAGTTGGTCTCTGTACCTAAGCTTGAGTAGTTCTTGAATAACTGCAGATACCAGCCATCGATCTCCTGCAGTATCTAACAGGCAGTGCAGGGTCATTGCTGAATCATGATCTAGCCAACCTCTGCAAATACCTGTGAGTATAATACATTAATATATAATACTGAAACAGAAGGCATGTTACAAGACTTGCAAGATGTAAGTTCTCTCCAATTTATCATTTCCATTTCTCTCTGCCCCAATTTTGTGTGTTATTTGGGGTCTTCCATATATTCTTCATTCAATTCTGATGTCGATAATATATGAAACAATTTCATTTTACTTCTTCTGGAGATGTTAGTTTTGATAGAATGACGATAATATAAAGAAAATTAAACCTACCAGATTTCCACACAGTACTCAATTGTTCTGTTGCTGGGTGCCTTGACACCAAATGGTGGTTGCTAGATGTAGGTAGCGGCAACTGTACCTCTCTTTGCATTTTTCTAATAATCTCACAGGTCAATTGCCACCTATCTCGCAAACTATCCTCTTCAGTGATGGGAGGGGCAAGGAGCTGCTGCACCATATTAATTGGCTTAAGAAGAGTATCTTGAGGTGCGGTCCTCATATGAGCACAAATCCAAGCTGCTGCAGCTAAAGGCAGACAGCACATTTTTCCTCTAACTGCTTCCAAAATACGTTTTACATCCTGAGGCACTAAAGCACCCTGTTCCCATGCCACAAGTACCTCATGCATCACTCCAGCGATGTTGAAGAGTACGTCCTGCCATTTTACACCTGGTGGGAAATCCGATTCACCAGAGTTGAATTGGTTCAGTAGAGATTCTATTATTGATGGATCACCTGAGAAATATGAAAACTCTTTAGTTACCAAACAAATACCCTGTATATGCACATTATCAACAGGAATATATAAAATTGTTAAGACTACGATATTACATTACTTTAGTACGGAGTTTACTTCACCAGCTATAAATTAATCTCTGTCTATGGAATACTTCTAACTTGTAATGGAATGCTCCTAAACATTATTGACTTAAGTAATGGTTGAGCCAATTTTACACCATATTTTTTAGTTTTTTTCAGATAAAAAAGTCAATCTTTAGCAATCAATGAAATACCTAATTTTAGTAACTGCTCGGGGGCCTTGGGTCTTTGTCTCTCTACCATACATGATTTCACCCACTGTTCAAAAAGGGAATCTCCATCAGGGTCCAGCACAGCGGAAGCACCGTAGTTTTGTACAATAGCAACTAGCATGAGAAATGTTATGTCAAACAATTGAGATCTAGCCTTGTCACCCCCAGATTTGGAACATTCATTGAACCTTATTAACCGGTTCACAAGGGTGCGAAGTTGGCCTTGTACAGTAGCCACAGCCAGTATTAGTTCAAAACTTTTACCTGTGAGGACTTGATGTAACATGCCTAGAAGAGCATCCTGAAAAAAACATATTAATTAAAGTGAAATTCTATAAAGCTGTGGAATACTGAGTTGCTCCTAACTGCAACAGGAGTTAGAGTTAACAAGAAGCGGGCAGACGGGGTTTTTTTGAATGATGCAACAAATTTTCCTTCATTTTCAGTATTTTAATAACTCCTTTTTAATTATATGCGAGCGCTTTCGGCAGCTGGTCGTGCTGTCATCATCAAGGCTCTACTCAAACTGAACGTGTAAACCTGTTGTTTGTCCTTTTGTGCGTTCCGAACGCCTGAGTGTAGGTATTTCAGGTACTTTAGGTAATTTTGACTGTATTTGGGTTAATTCAGGTAATATTCCTTGTGTTGGATCTTCTCTAGGTTTACTGTTTCTAGAAGTGTGTATTGTTTTGTGTAATATATTGAATGTTAGGTCTTGTTGTGTTTTGATTTGTATTTGTTCCTCGATAAGTGAATTATGACTGTTAAATTTATGGATGTTTAACTTTTCCCAGATGTCCATACGGTTTCCCTTGTTGACTTGTTTTATGAGTTTTATGTTCTCTGGTGGGGGGAAATTATGTTTGTTTTGTATGGCGTGTGGTACAAGGTTCGATTTATATATTATTGGGTTTATGTATGCCTTTTTATACATTTTATCCCATTATTTATGCCAACGGAGATTGAGAAAAAATGTGTTAGTTAACAATTGAATAACTTTTTGAAAAATAGTGATAAAAACTTTTTTTCTACGGGACTCGATTCATTCAAGTGTTAAGAAGATACTAGATTTTTTTCAAATTTTTAAAATGACATTTTATGTTATAAAAAAATTATTTCTTTTGATAAACTCTCTTTAGCGGCAGCGCGCGCATGCCGTAACAGCCGCGCGGAACCCTATTTTCATCGTCAAATTAAAATTATAAATAATGGAGATAGAGTTTCGGGAGTCGGGACTTTTTTATCGGAAATTTCCTCCTCTTTAACGAGCTTTTTTTTAAATTGCTTAAATATTAATATTTTTTGAGTTATTAACGAAAAACTAAATACCATTTTTTCACAATCTTATTTTGTTAATAACAATTGAAATTTTTTACCTGCACCAAAATCCTTCAAAACCATTTACTTCATATAAGCAGAATAAGTGGGAGATAAGTATATAAGAGTTGACGGATGTCACAGGGATTCCCTGAACATAAATATTAATTGCAAAGACAATAACAAAACAGTGCAACATGCTGAAGTTGTAATGCGTGAGGAGTGAAACTCTAATTTATTGATTTTTCAGTTCAGCTTTAGTGATTGAGAATTTGGATATGGTTAAGATGACTTTCCATGATAAACTTAATTTTTTATTGTTTCAATAGAAACAAGTAGAGTCACCTCATGAGATCCCTTGCAAGAGTGCTGCCCTGGCGGCTGCTCTGCTAGCCACCCCCTAAGGCCGCCACTGAGTATTGATAATAAAAATTAAATATACTACAAGTAAGATTTCTATAGAACACAAAAAAATGACACTCAAAAGTTATTATTAGGAAAACAAATCATTTGTACCAAATTTTATAAGCAATATATAACATTATAAAATTTAGAACATCCAGGATATTGTCAAAAAGTGTAATAATATAAGAGAAAGATCATTTGAGAATCATTGAAGAACTTCTTGACACAATATTTTCATAAGGTGGTGAATTAAAAATATTTGAGTGATGAGTTATTTTAGGCTTTGGTAACAACCCAGGTTGTTATGCGATACATATAAAGAGAAAAAATGTTAACGCAAGGTGCCAAATGAAGCAAAAAGAAACTCAATAAAATTATAACAGAATTCTATCGAAAAAATTAATTATCCAAATATTCATATCTTATTGACAAAGCATGGTCTCAAATAATGAAAACGAACACAAATATTGGCCATAGCTACTCAGTCAGATGTTAATTACTCAATGTATGTTCCCATAAAACAACAAACATTGAGAATTTGTAGAATAAAATTTCAGAACATATTTACAAACAAAAACAATAGGTAGCACCTACACAATCTCTGTTTATAAAGAGCAACATAACAATTTTATTGAGGACACATTTCTGCTAGAAAACCTCAAGATCTGTTTTAAACTGAATTTTCATTATGCTATTTTTTAATAAAAAAAAACAAATATTCTCAACCTCTTCAATAAATACAAGCTAGGTAAATTATATGAAATCTTTATATTATTTTGACGATATTGAACTGTATATAGACACAGTTTAAATCTCCTTGAAAATCTAATTGAAACTATTTCTATCATTAATTAATACATTTTTTAATCACATTGCCAAGTATCTCAAGGTTAAAGAGATAAATGTAGTCCTCAGATATCTGATTCCATATTATATCTACTGAAACTTTCAAAAAATTAACTACATTCAAAATATAGTAATTACCTGTATCTTATGGTAGTCAGTTGAAAGTGTTTTAAGTATCCCTCCAAGCGTTGACTCTGCACAAATGTGCCAATAAGTAGGCATCCCGTTACTGCCAGGTCCTGAGTCTAACTTGAGGGATGGAGGTGCTTTTCTTTTCTCCAAAAGCATTTTCATTTGTTGCTCACTTAGCAAGCGGCTCTTGGCTAGTTCATCAAGGAGGCACTTGAAACTTGAACAGGTGCTATTGGCATCCATGGCATCTAACAAAGGACTATGTTGAAGCAATAGCTCCACAGCATTGACTACACACATAGTATCAGATTTTCCAGCAAGATCCAAAAGAATATGAGGTACTTTTAAGAATGCAAATGCTCCCCACTGACTCTCATGAGATGTCTGACTTACATTGTGAAGGGAAAGGAGACTACCTCTCATAAGTTCGGCATACAACCTAGCATTACTGTAGTCTTTCAGTTTTTGAAAAATTTGGAGTTGTTGACACAATTCCGTTGTGGTACTTCCTGGGTTTCCAGTGAGTTTTACTTCCAGCCAGCATTGAATGAGAGATCCTGGCCATTTTTCCCTGTTAACTGGAAGCTGCAACATGCCAACGTCGATATTACCAAGTTTTCTGACATAGTTGGCAACCTCATCAGCTTCAGTTAGAATCAATTCTAATTCAATGCCTTTCCTATTAGTTTCAGTAAATAATTCAGGATCATTATATCGAGCGAGACACATCATTGAAACATAGAAATCATCAGTAAGAAGAGTTTTCAACAGCTCCCCAGCTTTCAGAATTATTTTCTTTGTGGACTGGCATTGCTGCAAAATATTCAACAACCATAACGCTACAGACAATACTGCAGTAGCCAATACTGTCTCTTCAGGTTTGCCAAATCCAACTGTTACTCCTGGAAGCATTCCTTCTAAGAACTCGAGAAGACTGAAAACACAGTAGATTTTGTTCAACTGGCTGTATTTACTTAGTCTCTGAAGAACTGCTGCATAAGACACCAACTGAGCACTTAAAGAATGCTTCAAATAACTCAACATCAACTGATTGGCACCAGCGCCAACCACAGCCTGTTGGAGAATGCAATCTGCCAAATTGTATACATCTCCGCTTACTCCACGGGGTAGCACCGTTTTAATGTTGATGCCCCATTGTAAATCTGTCCACCTTTCTCGCCAAGCACGCAGGAGAAGAGCCTTCAAACAACTTGTTTTACTGGTGGTTTTCGATTCCATAACTAAGCAGATAAAATTGGATTAACTGGCAGAATTTGTCAGGAACACGAAGATTTTTATAAAAACATGACTTATTTTTACAGTACAAAATATTTATGTAGTTCACATGAAACCAATCAAAAATTCTTGAGAATATTAGAACTACATGTTTTGCAAACATGTAATTTCATATGAAACTTTTGCAAAACACAAACAAATAATTACTTCACTTCACTTCACTCAAAGTTCTTGGCCTTTGCTTCCAGATGGCGCATTTAGCCAGCTCGATTCGGATGGTTACAGCTTGGTCTGATTGTGAATCATGCTCACAAACTACTTACTCTTAGAAGGTGGTTTGTGATCATGCTGTAATCCAAGACTTCTGTTTTCTTAATTAGATTTGGTGTTTACTGGTCCGTTATCTCTTCTCGTGCTAGATAAAGGATAAGTGACAGATAATACTACAAACAAAGGTTAGAACGAAAATAGGAAACGGAATGGATGAAGATCATAATTTGATTTTATTCTGTTCTATAAATTTTATTAAAGTTTTTATTATTGGAATAATTATAAATCATCTCGGGTCTCTATACTATAGAACAACACAGAATCACAGAATACTACAGTTCTGATATTCTGTGACAGAAGACACAATATAACATAGTCTCTAATAAATAAGGTGTTGACAGATTCCTGATAACTTTATATCACAGAACAAGTTAGGGTGTTCTGTGTTTATATTGTCTCAATGGAAATAAAGTATTACTATTTTCATTATTTGTTCGAAATTTCAAATTCAATCTCATCATTTTGAAATTACGAGATTAAAGTCGAAATTTCGAGTTCAAAGTTCTAATTTGAGTTGAAAAGTCGTAATTTCGAGTTGAAAAGTCGTAATTTCGAGATTAAAGTTGTAATTTCAAATTTCAGAGTCGTAATTTTCAATAAACGGATAATGAAAATATGTGGCCCTTAGACAAGTCTTCTCTTGTCTAAGATGTGGCCCTTCTGCGCTTTCATAGTTACATGAGTGTCATGTGACAGGAGGAGAACGGCCAATAAAACAGACAGAGAGAGACAGAAATTTTTCATTCGGTGTTCTGTGGTGGTTGTGTTGACATGTGAACTGTTTTCTGTTTTTGTTTTCCAACTTATAATTTAACCTAACCTAATCTTTTTAAGGGATGAGGAAATGAAAAATTTTAATATGGTTTCTCTATAAAGGAAAGAGACTTGGTTAGAAACATTGTCTTGTTACAAACAACTTCCAGTTTAAAAATAAGTTTTGTGAATATTTTTTGTATTCATTCTTATTCAAAATGCCAAAAGAACAATATCGAGAAACAGATATTGCGAGGAAAATGTAAGTATGATATGAATGACTACTTGAAAAAAACTAAACATTTCCTTTTTAGTTCCTTTGTTACTTTTGTGTTGGAAAGTGCTGAGAGTATGCAACAACAGTCGCACCTTCACGTTGTAGCTAAAAATTTATATAATCAAGACAATCAAAGAACTCCTATACCTTATGGAGTACTTGACATGAGATTGGTAAGTTTGTTTACATTTTGGTTGGATAGTGCAAAGTCAAGATAATAATTCGTAGGGAACAAATTCCAAAGAAAAACCTTGTCAGACATGTGGAATGAAGATAACTGAATGTGCTGGACACTTCGGTTATATTGATTTGGAATTACCAGTTTTTCATGTGGGATATTTTCGAAGTATAATCAGTATTCTGCAAAGTATTTGCAAGAGATGTGCCCATGTACTTCTTGATGAATCTGATAAATATCAATATCGAAGTCGCCTTGCAAACTCCCATCTGAGTTATATGACAAAAAAAGCTATTAGAAAAAAACTTATCGAAAAATGTAGAAAAATCACGAAATGTCCATATTGCAAAGAATTAAACGGTTTCGTAAAGAAAATGACTGCAGCAAAAGGAAGTGCTGGAAATTCTGTTTTGAAAATTGTCCATGAGAAAAATAGAGGAAAAGATAAACAACTGCTTTTGGAGAGTCAGGTTAATGAATACTCTTTGGCAATTGAGAGCAATCCAGATATTCGGACTGTTTTTACTGGAGCTCCTATTCCAGAAATTTTAACTCCAATAGATGTGTTGAAGTTATTTGAAAGAATTCCTGAAAACGATATTGCACTTTTGGCCATGGATACAAAACGGTAAAATACAAAAACGATAAATGAATAAAACATATTGTAACTCATTATTTTTACAGGTCACGGCCAAAAGACTTAATTTTAACAAGGATGCTTGTACCTCCTGTGTCAATAAGACCTTCAGTAGTATCTGAGTTGAAAGCAGGAACGTAAGTTTTTTTTTTTGATCCTGTTATTTGTTTGATGTAACGTTTATATTTTCAGAAATGAAGATGATTTAACAATGAAGCAATCCGAAATTATTGTCATGAATGATTATATCAAGAAGTACAAACAATCTGGAACTAATGTACATAACTATCAAGAAATGTGGGATTTTCTTCAGTTACATTCTGCCTTGTATATAAATAGTGAATTGTCAGGTGTTCCTATTGCTATGATGGTAAGGAAGAGCAACAAATCTACAGTGTTGATTTGAAAACAATCCACAGTTGCCAAAATAGATCAATATTTATTTCGTGGGGGCATGTCGTGACTCAGAATGAATGATTGTAAATTCAACCCTCTCTTGCTCTTAGATTCAAACAACATTTTTTTTCATAAAGTAATTAATTAAAAAAAATACCCGTTGAGGGAGGAGTTGAACTCATTAATATCTCTAGTTGGTTATAATGTGCCTTTCCAAAAAAATATAATTTTTGTATCATCTTCTCTGAACTATTGGAGACTGAATAATTTTCAATATAACATCAGTTGAACAAATAAATGTTTCATACAATGTCATTTATTTGCACATTCTACTCTATTAATATTCTAGTACATTTATTCAATTATAATGAATTCAACAATACAAGTTTATCACGGAATGAAAACTCGTAGAGCTCACATTGAACCTTGCTTTATTTTTTAGGAAGCAATCATTATACAAATGAAATTGTTTTCCAAATATCAACACTGCAACTTACCAGGGTGATTCTTCGTATACTTACTGCGATATTCAATATCTTACACTTAACTACTTAACTAAGAAAATTTTATTGGACTCTTATATTTTTATGCACTGATCAGGGATCTGAGTTAAAATGTGACGGAGATATGACCATTCAAAGGTAAAGAAATCGACAATTTCAGGAAATCACTTTTCATAATAACTTCTCATCACTATCACATACTATGAACCGTTATTCACTTGCTAATTTTTTTTTAGTATATGAAAACTGTTTAATTTCTTCAAAATTGTATTTCTTTCAACAAACTACATCATAATCATTAATGAAAGTAAATGACATTTTTGGAAGAAACTTTTTCATTGGTTCCGTTGGCAGTGTTTAAAAATTAATGAAGAAAATGGATGCACTGTTTTCTGTCATTTGAAAGGTTTCTTCCACAATTTAAAAAAGGGATTATACCATAAATCCAAAATAGTAGGCACTAAATTCTCAGAAAAGACTGACGTTTTTGCCTTTATCTGTCTCTTGCAGTGGCGTACAGAAATTATACTGAACAGATGAGGAAAAATTATGATAAAATATATAGAATCACAACAATGTTTTCGTTTTAATGCAATAATAATTCTAAGAATTATGAAATTGTAGTATAATTAATAAATACACACATACGTTTTTATATGCACAAATTTTAATATGTTATAACTGATTACTGTATGTTGTTTTGTTAAGCAAAGTTCAGTAAAATTTACCAAATTTGGCAACAAATTATGCATTTTTGAACTGTTATATCTTGTGATATTGTCAACAAATAATAAAGATTGTAGTGAAATAAAAATATCGTTTGAGACATCCTCCCAAAAAATGGATTCATTTGGTGAAACAGAAGTTTTTTATTGTGGAAAAACATTTAAGAAAGGCGAATAAAGGTTCGTAGTATGTGATAGTGAAATGAATGTGCTATTTTACGTATTTTCAATAACAAAGATGAGTTCTTGAAGTAGATGATTTTTTTTAATAGAATCGATTTTTGACTTCAGATTCGTGGTAAGTGAACAAAAACTTGGGAGTCCAATAATTTTTTTTTCGGAAAATGTCATAAGTATCTGAATAATTACCCTGACTAATTCTAAAAAATATATATAGAGAATGGGAAAGTGTGACAATTTATTTTCTTCAATTACTTTTCTTTACTTTCATAGCCCAGTAAGTCCGGCAGAGGTTTAGTTCAAAGGCTCAAGGGAAAACAGGGAAGATTTAGAGGGAACTTGTCTGGCAAACGTGTCGATTTTTCCTCAAGAACTGTCATATCTCCTGATCCAAATTTGGAAATTGACCAAGTGGGAGTTCCTCAACAAATTGCAAAAATTTTAACTTTTTCAGAAAGAGTTTTCCAAGGCAATATAGATGTTTTACGAAAACTTATTATAAATGGACCTGACAAATGGCCTGGAGCTAACTATGTACAACAAAAAAATGGTCAGTTCAAAAAATTTCTAAGATATGGCAACAGAGAAAAATTGGCACAAGAACTGAGGGTATGGATTTCTGTCTTTTTGGGATGAAATTAAATGTAAATATATATTTTCTTCAATTTTAGCTGGGCGATACGGTAGAAAGGCATTTGCATGATGGCGATATAGTACTTTTTAACAGACAACCCAGTTTACATAAATTGTCTATTATGGCACATAAAGCTAAAATTCATAAACACAAGACTTTTAGGTTCAACGAATGCGTTTGTAATCCCTACAATGCTGATTTTGATGGGGACGAGATGAATTTGCATTTGCCACAAACAGAAGAAGCCAAAGCAGAAGCCTTAATTCTGATGGGTGTAAGATTCAACAGTCATATAATAATGATAAATCTTTTATATTTTATTGTCAATACAAATGTATGGGGCAAATGAATGTCACATATGTAATTTATATTTGAAGAGGTTTCTTATATAATTTTTTTTCAGAATAAAAGTAATTTGGTAACCCCTAGAAATGGGGAACTCCTGATAGCTGCTACTCAGGATTTTCTAACTGGTGCATATTTGATAACCAAAAAAGATACATTTTTTGATTTAGCAGGTGCTTCGGCACTAGCTGCCACACTTCTTGCTGGCAAAGACACACATATGCATATAGACCTACCGAAACCATGCATAATTAAGGTGAATAATTCTTTATTTCTCTTTGTGACATAATTATTTACAGCCTGTTCAGCTCTGGTCAGGTAAACAAATATTCAGCCTGATATTCAGACCAAACAAAAAAAATCCTGTTAAAGCAAGTTTAGAGGCTAAAGGAAAAGCATATACAAAAAACAAGGAGTTGTGTATTAAGGACTCTTATGTTCTCATTCGTAATTCAGAGTTACTCGCTGGCACCCTTGATAAGGGCCACCTTGGTAGTGGTGGTAAAGGAGGAAACATATTTTATATTATATTGAGAGATTTTGGCGAGGAGTATGCCATTAGATCCATGTGGCGATTGGGTGAGGATTACTTTTTGTATCTAGTTAAGAAATAAAAATAAATGGACAAAAAATAATTCATTTCTTTTTAGCAAGAATGGCTTCAAGCTATTTGATGAATACAGGTTTTTCTATTGGAATTGGTGATGTAACGCCTGGAAGGAATCTACTAGATGAAAAATCTAAATTACTGCATCAAGGGTTTGTAATTATTTTCATTTACTTTCTACCAAATTGATATAAAACTCTAAGAACGTATCATCAAAGTGAAATGTTTCTGTCAATAAGGGTTAACAATAATTTGAAGTTTGTTTGAAGGTGATTGACAATGTTTCGTGATGAATTTCACTAGTTCGGACTTCCATTGTCTACTATATAAAATGATTTGAAATCCCTGAAACAAGTAAAAAAGAATAATTAAAAAAGA